AAGTCTTTATTTTTCCATGTTTGAAGGATATTTTTGTCAGATATAATATTCTAGGATTACAGTTTTTTCCCTTCAGCACTTTGAATATGTCCTGGCACTATATATATATAACGTTTTCCTCGCTCCCCTTTTTCTTCATCTGTGACCTCTATGATCCTAATTATTTTATGCCTTGAGGTACTTTGTTTGGGTTAAATCTGCTTGGTGTTCTATGACCTTCTTGCATCTTAATATTGATATCTTTTTCTAGATTTGGCAAGTTCTCCTTTATTATTTCTTTGAATAAACTTTCTACCCCAATCTTACTATCTCCTCTTTAAGGCTACTAACTCTTAGATTTTCTCCTTTGGGGCTATTTTCTGTATTTTGGAGGCATGCTTCTTATTCTTTTTTTGTTTTTCTCTTCTGACTGTGTATTTCCAAATAGCCTGTCTTCAAAATCACTTATTCTCTCTCTTTTGCTTGGTCAATTCTGCTGTGGAGAGATTAGTCCATTTCTCAGTTTGTCAACTGAATTCTTAAGCTCTAGAATTTCTGCTTGATTTCTTTCAAACTCTTGTTAAATTTCTCTGATAGGCTTCTGAATTCCTTCTCTGTGTTGTCTTGAAGTTCATTGAGCTTCTGCAGGACAGCTATTTTGAATTATTTGTCCAAACAATCACCTATTTCCATCATTCCAGGATTGGTCACTGGTACTTTATTTAGGTTGTTTGGTGGGGTTTTGACTTCCTGGAAGTTTTTGATGGTTGTGGATGTTGGTTGATGCCTGAGCATTGAAGAGTTAGTATTTATTTCCTCACAATCTGGGACTATTTGAACCCATCCTTCTTGAGAAAGGTTTGAAGATAACTCAAATGGGATTAGTGATATGGTCTAAGTCTCTGGTCCCTACAACTGTATCAGCACTAGCAGTGCCCCAAGCCCAGTAATGTTGTGACTCTTGCAAACTCCTGGTGGTAGCAGCTTGGTGAGTTTGGGTAAGATACAAAAGAAGTTCCTGGATTATCAGGCAAAGTCTCTTACTCTCTTCCTTCACGCTCTATTCTGGGCTGTTGGAGTTGGGGGAAGAGTGACATGGGCACTCCCTGATGGTTGTCAGCACCAGGTCACACCTAAAGCCAGCCTAATCTTATCCAAAGCCAGTGGAGACTGTTTCCTTGTTACTTCTGACACTTATCCAAAGCCCAAGGGCTCTTTAGTCAGCAGGCAGTGGATTGTGTCAGGACTGGGTCCTGCTCTTCAAGGCAGGATGTTTCCTTCTGGCCCAGGATGAGTCCAGAAATGCTGTCCAGGACTCTTGGACTAGAGGCCTCAAAAGTCTGGTTGGTACTTTATTTTACTGTGGCTGAGCTGGACAAAACAAAGTCCTCTGAGCTCTTTCCTTTTCTTTCCCCAGGTGCAAGAAGACTCTCCCTGAGCCATGCTCCCTATAGTTGGGGAAGAGGTGACATGGGCACTGGCTTGAGTGCAGCTGCTGATGTTCTACTGGGTCATGTGAGAGGATGGCCTTTCTAAAATTACAGAAAAAATATTAGTAAAGGAAAAATTACTCAACTCATAGTTCTTGGGTGAGGGCTAAAATCAATCCTATGAACCCTCTCCTGTTGACAGGCACCCTGTGGGGCTTGTTTTCACATCTGAGAAGAGCTAATCAAAGAAAAGGGAAATGTAAATTTTTAGGCCTACCAACTAAAAATTGCCTTTTATTTTTATTTTTTATTTTTTTGAGACAGAGCCTCAAGCTGTCCCCCTGGGTAGAGTGCCATGGCATCACAGCTCACAGCAACCTCCAACTCCTAGGCTCAGGCGATTCTCCTGCCTCTGCCTCCCAAGTAGCTGAGGCTACGGGTGCCCACCCCAATGCCTGTCTATTTTTTTGGTTGCAGCCGTCATTGTTGTTTAGTGGGCCCTGCCTGGATTCAAATCCACCAGCTTAGATATGTGGCTAGTGACTTAGCCGCTTGAGCCACAAGTGCCGAGCCATAAAAATTGCCTTTTAGAATCTGCTTTTTACAGCCTTGGAGAGCTCCTGAATAGACCGTGGGGGGAGGCTACGTGAGCTATACCCTGCTCAAAAACCCATATCTCTAGGGCAGAATCCCTGACAAGATCAACCTGTCTGCCACTTCTGTCATCAGCCTGCTGTAAGCAGAGAGAAAAGGGGATGCAACAGTTTACAGTACTCCATTAATTTGGCTTCAGCCACAAACCTTCTTCACCCCCTTTATAGCCCCGAAATAAAAAGCCTGAGTATCTAATTCTCTCAGTCAACTCTGTCTTTGTCTCTTTCATTTCTGTGTTGGCCCTTTTCTGCCTGGAAAGATAAACTTTTTCATCTTTCTATCCTAATCTTTGTCTGGAGAAATCTTTCTCAAAACCTGCATCCACTATCTTACACCCTGAAATCATGTGCCCCACATCTACTGATTCTGAGCCACACAGCCACAGCAATTGCTCTAGGACTGTGGTCCTGTGGCACAACTGCCTTGCACATTTAGTCCAGGCCCCAGGCTGTTCTTTTCCTGTGGGAACTCAGGTTTGGAGACAGAGGATTTCCTGCTGACTGAGGTGTTCAAAATGCTCCCTCTGTGGGCACTGGCAGAATTCTGTGCTGTGCTCCCCTGTGCCAGTGTGGCCCTGAGTTTCAATTTGAAACCTCATAATCGCTTCATGCTCCCTCCCCTGGGCACACAGATTCCCTCTCCACTATGTGTGCTGGTGTGGCAGTGCCAGGGGATAGGACGGAGTGGCATAGGCAATGCAACACTATCTTTTCTGATCTCTTCAGTGTTTCTTTCCTTGATATAACGTTAAAAAAAAAAAAGCAGTGTGATTGCTTCCCTGATTTTTGGTTCTTTCTGAAGGTGCTTGCTTGCTTGGATAGTTATTGAATGAGGTGTTCAGGCAGAGAGACCATCACTGGAGGTATCTTTTCGGCCATCGTGCTCTATCCCTTTCCTGTGGGCTTCTCTTTCCCTTCCCAAGGGAATTTGGCACTAAATTCTTTCACCTGTAAAGCTCTCAAGACATATCACTTAGACTCTAACCTTGGAGAGCACTGTGGGCATGAGGATGAAAGAAGACATCTTAAAGCCTCTCTGATTCCTCCTGCCCCTCAACCCCCTTTCCACATTCAACCCTTTTCCTACTACTTGCTAATCCCATAAATGTTCTCTGTACCACATTGTCCTATTTCTCTTTCCTTTTCTTCCCTCGCCTCCCTGGCTTTCTTCCTTCCTTTATCCGTCTAATTTCTTTAGGTTTTCTTCTTTCTTGTCACAGAGCTGCGATGGGGCCAGAATGAGTTTTCAGTTTTGAAGAGGAGCAAGAAGGATGAAAGAGGAGGATCTGGACAAGGTGAAGTGTCTTATGATTAAAATCTCTGTTGATCCTCTCAATGATACATTTTCTTGAGAGTAGTAATTCCCAAATTGTGAGTATAATAGGTATTATCTGAAAAGAACAGTTTTAAAACAGTTAAATAACTTTTTTCCTACAGAAATTCTTAAGGTTTTATTATGAAAATTGGTATTTATTACTTTTCTATTATTGTATAACAAATTATCACCAAATATGAGCTTAAAAAACTAATAAACATTATCTCATGATTTCTGTGGGTCAGGAATCAGAGACTGGCTTAGCAGAGTGGTCTGTTGGAAGGTGGTAGTCAAGGTGGTTGCAGTCACATGAAGGTTTCACAGGAGTTGGAGGATCTGCCTCCAAAATGGGTCACTCACCAAGCGGACATATGTTGATGCCAGCAAAACGTCTCACTTTCTTGATACACAGACTATTATGGGCTGCTTGAGTGTTCTTATGACATGGCATTGGGTTCCTGCAGAGAGTGATCCAGTATTGCTTATGGTCTAAACTCAGAAGTCATACAACATATTGTTAATTACCTACAGGTCAGTCTTATTCAATGTAGGAGAGGTGTAAAAATCAAGAGGAGAGGGACATGGGAGAGGGACTTCATTTTGGAGGCAAGCACTGGCAATGCATTATGAATCTCGGGGACTAATATGACAATACAATTGTTGATCAATGGAGCATTCCTAGACATTAGGGTTCTGTGGTACACATGCTGGGGGACAAGCACCATGGATTCTCACATTGAAGTGGAAAGGTCTCAGTGGCTCACAAGTGGAGGGCAAGATGTACGTCTGGAGGAAGAATCCGGAAAGATGGAGCTAAGTGTGCATTGAGTAAGAAAACATGGCTATCTAGAGCAGTGGTCCCCTCAGGGACTGGGGTTCAGAGGCCACTCTAAAGAAGATTCTCCAATTTAGAAACGCTAGCACATGACTTCCTGCAGTCCCAAACTGCCTGGACCATCTATACTTTTCTAAGACACAAAGAAAAGGTTAAAGTTCATAGGCTGAAAAGAACTGTTACCACAGAATCTCCAAACTAAGGAGATGGCAAAAATCTAGAAGGCTCAGCTGTTCCGTGCTCAGAGCAGCCTAGAGTACCATCCTCCTCGGGGTTGCTTGTTCTGCTTCCAGACTGGACTCCCAATGGTCTCTTTTATGATCTGCGCTAAGACTATGTAAGGTCATCGGATGATTCAGATCACAAAGCCCCCGTTTTTTTCCCTACTCAATTTGCATAATGTCTTGTTCGCAAAGGTTCCAGTCTGGGGTCAGACAATCGGTGCTTGGGGGAAGTAAGCTTTCATCAAACGTTTACAGGAACCCTATCAGGAACAGATGGAGGATAGGAAAGGAGGAGAAATGATGAAAACGCTAGAGAGAAGGGAAAAGAGGTTATGGCAAAAGGAAAGGAAGGTGCGTGAGAACGAAAAAAAAGTCATGTCCGAAGCCTGGCCCTGTCCCGGCCCGGCCGCTAGCCCCCCCGACGCCGAAGCACGCTCACACCGCTTCTGGCCACCAGGTGGCATCCTTTGAACTTTCTCCCCACGAAAATAAGGAAGCGGGGCAGAGAGGAGGGAGAGAAGGCAAAGCACTCCCCCAGGCAAGAACAATTCGAAAACCCACCCCATAATATTTAAGATCTGGGACAAAGAACAGTCTGGACCAACTGCTTCAATTGCAAGACCTCGGCGCGGCCTCGGGAGCGGCGCGGCCTGGGAAGCGGCCGGGCGGCCGGAGCCCGGAGCAGCCCCTTTAAAAAAGCGGAGTACAGTAGTGGGATTCTTGAAACCTGAAACCTAGAAACAGAATCGAAGCGGAAATCAGAGGGAAAACCTTGAACTCCTCCAGACAATCGCTTCCGGGGAGTTTAGAGGGAGCGAAGGGGAATAAAGGACTGGAGAGGAGGGGCCCTCGGATGGCGCGTCCCTGAGGGTCGCGGCGAGTTCGCGGAGCGTGGGAAGGAGAGGACCCTGCCTCTCCCCGGGCTGCGGTCATGGCCACGGCGGAGCAGAAAGCCCTGGGCACCGGCTTCAAGTGGCTTTCCTTGGCCACTCTCGTGCTCATCTGCGCCGGGCAAGGGGGACGCAGGGAGGATGGAGGTCCAGCTTGCTACGGGGGATTTGACCTGTACTTCATTTTGGACAAGTAAGTGCCGTGAGTTGTTCCACGTCAGGCTAAGCTGGCGGTGATGCTTTTTCCGCCGGCAGGGTTTGTTGGCGGGGTCGCTTTGGGACAGGCGCGCATCTCCCGGGACCCGGCGGGACGCGGGAGGTGGCGGCGGCGAGCGCAGCGTCTTTGTTGGAGAGCACTCCTCCCATCCTCCGCTATCCGAACCCGCAGGGGAGGCGACGCGGCTCGTTTGGGGGGAACAAATCTCTTTCCTGCGACCGAGGAGTGTGCAAGGGATTTGGAGGATGCTGTAGACTAAGTTTCTGTGAATGCTTCCCATTTTGGTGAAAAAGGCTTGCTTACTAAAGGCAGAACTTGCAGACACTTTTAAAGTAACAATCGTAAGCAATTTAAGGTGAATGTCTAATTTTTTAAAACTCTGTCCCACAGAATCCACCGTTTTTGTTCCTGATAATATAATGCATGCTTTGACTGGCTAGCTGGTGAAAATATAAGACAGGATTTCTCATCCTCTGGCATATCCTGGTTTAAGCTTGGCGGTTCTTTGTTGTGGCCACTGTCCTGTGCATCCTACGGTGTCCAGCAGCACCCTTGGTCTCTCTCCACTTAATGCCAGTCACCCTCCTTCTTCTCCTTCCACTTTAGTGGTGATAACCAGAAATGTTGTCAAATGCCCTCTCCTTTGGCTTGAGAATCCTAGATGTAGGGAATACAAGCTTTTCGCTATTTGACTGGTGGGATGCCAGGGAGATGCAGGAACCCTGGTTCCCTAACTGAGACCGATGGTGTTTAGGCTTCAGGATTTGCTCAAGGGAGAGCCGAAGTCTAACCAATAAAACACTTCCCAAGTCCCCAAAGGTTTGCCAAGCCACAGTCATTCAAGGAAGCTTCATGCTATCTCCTAAAAACCAGCTTCAGTAATAAAAAGCCCCTCGCGGAAGATCCATGCTCATTAAATCTGTGTGAGCTCCCCAGTTCCAGGAGAGGCGCTTGCTGTTACAGCGGTGGGGAGATGGATTTCACAGACTGGAAAGTATTTGGGAGTTGGAAAAAGAGTCCTGAAAAATAAGCTGGCCAGCTAGACACCAAATGTGCTTTGCAGTTGCCTCTGGAGTTTGATTTTTCCGTAAAGGCTGTTTTGAACTCCAGATTCTTTGGATGAGAAGTGAGATTTTTTTTTTTTTTCAGATTTATGAGAAGGTGGATACTGAAAATATACTCCAATACTAAGAAATGGAATTTTTTTTTGTTACTTCTAGTGGCTGGGTGCACCAGCTCACAGACTCAGAGATGGTGTCTAAAAAGAGTTAGAGGTGCCTATCGTTTGTGCTTTTTAAAAAGCCAGTTCCAAAAGAGGGATGGGAAAACTTGGAAAAAAGGGACAGAAATTATTTATCCCTGAATGGAATGTCTCAATACTGTAGAAAATCCATTCTCCCCAGATTAATTTATAAATTGAATTAAACTTTTCAGTTGAAGTTTCGAGAGAATTTATTTTGATGGTGGGGATTGAACAACATAATTCCAGGCTTATCTTAAGAGAAAAAGCAGATGAAAAAAAATTTTGGAAAAAAATAATGAATATTTTTCTTTCCAACTATTAAAATATATTAGAGGCAAATTGACAAACAGGATGGTAAAAATCAAACAACAGGTGGACAGAAAAGAAAATCTAGAAATAGAAGTACTTATAGATCCAAGTACATGTAAGCATTGAGTGGAATTACAAATAAGTAGGTAGTGAATTCATTATTTTAAAAAAATAATGTTCTTGGACAGGTGATTATAACATGAGGAAAGAAAAAGGTTAGATTTATACTGCACACCACATACTAAAATAAATTCCAGAAAGACTGAAAATTTAAGTGTTTAAAATAAAATGATCAAAGAACTAGAAAATAAATGATGAATATTATTACAACCTCAGGTTTAGAGCTTTTAAAACATTACAAGGCAAGAACCATAAAGGAAAATATATTTTTGGTTAAAATTTTACACTTCTGTATGTAAAGCAATGCTGTAAATATAAGAAGTCACAATAACTTTTGCAAGATCACTCACTCTCTAAAGATTGATCTTAATATATAAAAGCAGTAAAAAAATCCCTATAGAAAATAGCCTTCCTGCATAATTCAGAAAAGAAAAATATATATGAAAGTCAATAAAAGAACAAAAAAGTTCACTAATAGTCAAACAAAAAAAAATCAACGCAACTTTTTTAAGTTGGCAAAGATTTTTAAAGAATTACAATATTAAGTATTGGAAAATTTGTAGGAGGAAGTCCTTTTCATATCTTACTAGTGAAACTATAAACTGGTACAGTCTTTCTAGACTTTTGCTTTCCAGTAGAACTTTCTAGGATGATGCTAATGTTCTATATTTGTGCTGTCCAGTAAGTAGTTGCTGCCCATCTGTGACTGTTGAGCACTTGCAATGTGGCTGGTGTGATTGAGGATTTGAATTTTTAATCTTGTTAAAATCTAATTAATTTAAGCTTAAGTAGCCATGTGACTACTGTATCAGATAGTGAAGACAAGAAGATAATTTGGCAACATGTATCAAATACTTTTTTTTTGCAGTTTTTGGCCGGGGCTGGGTTTGAACCAGCCACCTCCGGCATATGGGGCCGGTGCCCTACTCCTCTGAGCCACAGGAGCTGCCCTGTGTATCAAATACTTTTAAAAGATGAGGTGTCAGCCTTTTCATCTAGCAATTCCATGTCCTGAACAAAAAATCTAAATAGTCGCAACATGTACCTACATGTATGTATAAAGCTGAAAATTATGTGTATCCAACAATAGGACATTTACTAAGTAAGGTGAAACATTTAGATAGCATTCAGTATGCCTCGCATTTTATTCATGCTTGTAAACTATTTTAGGAGAAATATATGTATAATGCTTATAATATACTTTTAGGTGAAGTTACCCGACATTGCATGCATTGGGGTGGTGCCTATGGCTCAAAGGAGTAGGGGTCTGGCCCCATATGCTGGAGGTGGTGGGTTCAAACCCAGCCCTGGCCAAAAACTGCAAAAAAAAAAAGGAAAACAAAAAACATTGTATGCATTGTGATTCTACCTTTGTAAATAGTTAAACACACATGTGCATGTTTATATTTACCGAATATGGTAATAGTCTTACTCTCTAGAAGATCAGTTTTTACCTTTTATTGAATTTTCAAATTTTTCTGTAAAAAGTGTGTATTATTTTTATCATCAACAAAAATAAGTTATTTTGAGTTTTTAAAAAATTATGTCTGATGTAGAGAGGGTCTCCAACCAGCACCCTAAGTTCCAAGCTCCTCACTGTTATAAAGAATGTTGCTTCTTTTATATTTAATTCTGGAGTAAATTTCTAAATGTCCCGCAGGATCCTTTGAAGCACATTGGGGTCCCAAAAACTGCCCCAGAAAAAAACTAGTAGGGGATCTTTACAGGCATGTACCTTTACATTCAGATGGTTGCCTATGGCTTCCTTTCGTGTTCCTATTGCTTGAGGAGGGGGATGCTTTTGTGCTGAATAAAAACCTTGCTAGCACTTGGTATGATAGTGTTCATGCCTCCAACTTGCCATCTTGATCCAGGCTAATTCGTCAGTTTTTTGAGGCCACAGCTGGAGGATGGGTCAGAAGGGAGCCATCACAAGCCCCTGGGTTGTTTCTAAAGACAAGATCTCTTGTCCTAGAAAGAACTTCCTCAAACAGTGCTGTCCAGCACCCAACCACAGCAAAGTGGAAAGGGAAAGAATGCTGACTTGTCTTTTCTTTGGGCTTCTAAGATCCTTCAGCTGGCAAGACGCTGTCTACAGGCTGAAACCAAGAGCTCACAGGGGACGGGATGCACCATTCTTCTCCCCATCCCTGTGACTCCCTTTCCCCTTGTGACTGATTCTCTTTTCTGGGACATTAAATCTCATTTCATTTTAACTTTAAGCAGGATGCATCTCTGGCCTGGAGGGAACCCAGATTATACATTTAATGGAATGTCATGTTTTCTCAACCAGGAGCAGAGACTTCATAATGATAACCTAGAAAATACCACAGTAACACAATAGGGCATTATTAGCGGCTTTGGCGACTGGTCTGATGGACTGGGCTGCACAAGGCTTTATACTGATGGAATTTCATGTTCACTTAAACATGCTTTTCTGGTTATAGTCAGGAAAAGTAGATTGCTGGGAATTCAGTCACAGATTTGAAAAGTTAGATTTGGAAGGCCTCTGTTCAAAAAGGAAAAATAGCAATGGAGCAGGAGGCTCTTTTAAGTCTTCCAGGGGATCTTCTAAGATTAATGCATCCATTTGACCAATCCGCACACATGAATGTGCCTTTCCCCTCCCCCAGGGTCTTTCTGTGGTTATAGTATACATTTATGTATCATGTATTGGTCTATTTTATATAGAGCTATTAGTTACTTAAATGGAGAAAGTGGATTTTGCATCATGAGTCTTAGGGAAGTGCTGGCTATGTTATATGGTACCCTAAAGACTTCACATGTACGTATATGTGTTATATGTTAGCTGTGGGGAGAAGAACAGGAGGAGTAGAGGAGATGGTGGGCTGACCTTCCAGCACCACAGCCTGCCATTTATTTCCTGCACCTAAGAAATCCTTATGTTTGTAAAGGAACTCACAGGCTCACCATGTGCTTTTTCCCCATTAAAGATCTGAAAGATCCCCTCTGTCATTTCTTTTCTGTTCAGTACCAACTTTGTCCCCTTTACAAAGGGACTCCATCTTGCCAACCCCCCAGACCTAAGTGCAGTGGGCACAGTGGATGTCCCTCAGTGGTACTGATCTGTAGAACCACTACTAGTTGTTATTCTTCAGGGACAAGGTCATTAGACTAGGAACTTCGACACCAGGTATTGTATTTTCTGGGAAAATGCTTCCTGGGTTCCTAGCTACTAGTATACAAAAGAAACTTTGGAGTCAGAACTTATATGACTCTTACGGACAGTTCTGCTCTCTCACCAGGGCTCCAAAGATAACCTTGTTTGGTAGGTAAGGCAAGC